CTCTCGGTAGCTTGCCAGTCTCTTCGAGAGGGGTGGGGGAATCGAACCCGGCTCGACCAGGCTGCTGCATGCAAGGCAAACGTCCTACCGCTGTGCTTAGAAAAAGATGAAATCATACAATTTGCATGGATGAATCTGGAGAGTATCATACTGAGTGAAATTATTCAGAAGTAGGGAGTAAGACAGCAAATCATATCCTTCATATATGGATTATAAATAAACATAGTAGGGAAATGACAAATGTCCAACAGAAACCATGGTCTTCAGTAGGAAGCTTACTGTGTGTGGGTAAAAGGGGAGTATGATGGGGGAGCATTAGGACAATGGTGAGAATAATAGCTTTGTAAACTGTGGTGCCTAAAATATAAAATATTAAGGACAAATAAATATAATCTTTTATTCTGAAAGAAAAACAGATAAAACACTATCAGTTTGCACAGTTAATATTAAAATGTTAAATAGCTACGTGGAAATTTATGTAATCTACTTAGTAGTGTTTAGGAGTATGATTTTAAAGTAACTAATTTGAGCCCAACTGGGCTGAGTTAAAGAAAAAACTATGTATATATATCAGTAACAATTCTGGTCAATAATTAAAATGTAAGTTATCATATTTTCTTTTATAATTTGACTTGTATTCCTGTAGAATATTAAGATGTTTTGTGGTTAGGTAAGATAAATATTATTATTCATAAGAAAACATATTGAAGTATTTAGGGATGAAATGTGATTATGCCTGTAACTTATATTCATATGGTTTAGTTAAAGCACAGTGATACAGAGACTGAGTGTGTGTGCAAATAAGAAAAAATTGTTAAAAGAAGAAAAAGATGCTCATAACTTTACAATGATATAAAATATTGAAACCAGAGTGATAGTACAGAGGGTGGAACACTTGCCTTGTACAGAGCCAATTTGGGTTGTATCCCCCGCACCCTCTCTGGTTCCCCTACTTCAACAGGAGTGATCCCTGAGCTCAGAGCCAACATTGAGCACTGACTGGGTATTGCACAAAACAAAATCCTTAATATCAGTTTAATATCATGTTTTAGATATGATATTAATTTAAGATCATGGGCTAGAGCGATAGCACAGCGGGTAGGGCATTTGCCTTGCACCCAGCCAATATGGCTGAGTCGAGTTCAATTCCTCCACCCCTCTCGGAGAGCCCAGCAAGCTACTGAGAGTATCTCACCCGCACAGCAAAGCCTGGCAAGCCACCCATGTCGTATTCGATATGCCAAACACAGTAACAAGACTCACAATGTTACTGGGCCCGCTTGAGCAAATAGATGAACAACGGGAGGATAGTGATAGTGATTAATTTAAGATCATAATTCACATCATATTTTAATGTAGTCATCAGAGATTATTGCTTATTTAAATGTGTTCATCCAAATATTATAAAAATGTATTGAATTGTTTCTGTAGTATCACTTTCCCCATAAAATACATTAAGATGTTTAAAATTTATAGTTTGTGAACATCATCTATTTAGATTGATAGTAAAGCTTCCAGTGCCACAGATCTGACAACTATTTTCACATTAATATTTAATGTAAAGTGTCTCTGATATTCATGGTGCTCTTCATTTCACCTCTAACATTCCTTGGCATGTATCTCAGAGTAGTTTGAAGCATTTTTTCCTGACTGCTTAAGCACCAACTTCAAGGGGCAGAGAGGTAGTATTCACACTGTACAGACTGACAAGGGCTTGATACTTAGTACCACATATAATTTCCCAAGGTGGCCAGGAATGATCCCTGAGTGCAGAGCCAGGATTAATCCCTGAGCACAGTTGGGTATGACCCACCCTCCACCCCCCCCCCCCAAAAAAAAACAACAAAATTTCATGCTAACTTTAATTTTCAGTATACTAATATAGAGTAGCACTGTAGCACTGTCCTCCCGTTGTTCATCAATTTGCTCGAGTGGGCAGCAGTAACGTCTCCATTGTGAGAAGTGTTGTTACTCTTTTTGGCATATTGAATACCCCACGGGGAGCTTGCCAGGCTCTGCTCTGCAGGTGGGATACACTTGATAGCTTGCCAGGCTCTCCGAGAAGGATGAATGAATAGAACCCAGGCCGGCTGTGTGGAAGGCAAACGCCATAACAGCTGTGCTGTATAGAGTATTTCTTTTTTCTATTGGAAATTATATTAGTTAATATCAGTCAATAATTAATATATAGTAACAATGTATTTATGAGTTATGGTAGCTAAAGTAATATGTTAATAAAATACATATGTAAATCATATGATTAATGCAATGTATACTAAATATATATTGATATCTCTAGCCCCAGATAATTCTCCATTTATTATCTTGATCTAATTGGTGTCCAACTTTGTATAACTTTCTACACTTTCTTTTAGCTTAAATCATTTTGTTTTATTTTACAAATTTTCTCAGTTTGGAGAATTTGTTCTCTAAGTTTATAAAGCTCTGTTGAAGGTGTTATAGCCTTTTTCAGTACCAGCAATAGCCAATGTGACAGATGGCCTCTGTTACAATAACTTGATTCTAAACTTGAATTGTAATTTATATAGTGATAATACAAGATAACACCATGCTTCTCACCAGAATTCTGTTTAAAATGCAATTTCACCTAGGATCCATCCCATGCAATGAGAGAAATGTACAAAATTGTGCTGATAAATATCCCATGTAATTATATAACCTTGACATCTCTGTGAAGTTCTGTCGTGCTGTTTTATATGGTATGCATAATCAATGCAGTGATTAGTGACGTCAGTGATGACCAGCAGACAGTGATGATGGTTCAATCACGGGTAGCTTGCCAGGCTTTGCTGTGTGGGCAAGATACTCTCGGTAGCTTGCCGCGATCTCCGAGAGGGGCGGAGGAATTAAACCAGTCTCAGCCCGGCTGGCTGCACGCAAGGCAAATGCCCTACTGCTCTGCTATCGCTCCAGCTCAGACCCTTGATATTGTTCATAATCCATGTGAAACCTTTCTTTATTTTTTTGGCTTTTTGGGTCACACCTGGCGATGCACAGGGGTTACTCCTGGCTCTACACTCAGGAATTACCCCTGGCGGTGCCCGGGGGACCATATGGGATGCTGGGAATCAAACCCGTGTTGGCCACGTGCAAGGCAAATGCCCTACCTGTGCTATTGCTATAGCCCCTGAAACCTTGCTTTCATACGTTGCTCAGATGGTATGACTATTTGAGCTTCCCTTTGAGTAGTTTTTCCCTTTTAGGCACTTAAATGCTGTGAGAAATATGAAATTGATTATCTTGCTAAGTATTGGACCACACTTTGCTAAGTAGGACATTTCTGTCTACTAGAAAGTAGAAAAACATACAACCTCTATCACGACGATCATGGTAATGTGCCTGGTTTTTAGGGAACTGCTGCTGTGTGTGGATAGGAAAAAGTAGACTTCGATTTAAAAAAATGTGTCTTTGTATGTTATGGGAGATGGTGCTTCCAAGAAACCCAGAAAACTCAACTATTCCTCACCATCGCTTCCTCTTGACACTTCCCCTGATGCTCCCAGGAAGCAGAGCAAAGTGATAGTCTACCTTGTCTCCCACCGTGGAACTACTGCCAAAGCTTGATTCAGCTCTGTTGTTTTTCTGCTTTGCTTGTCTATAAATCTGTCCCCCTTCCAGCTTTTGTCAGTGTGGGTCCAATTAGAGAGAACAAGGAAATTTGAATGAGGAAATTTTGTATAAAGAATTAGGAAATGTAAAAGATTATTGAGTGGTAGTAAGGATGGCATAGTCTCCCTAGTCAGCCATAACAAGACACCACAAACTAATTGGCTTGTGCGCAAAAATTAATTTTCTCTCAGTGGTGGCTAAGAAGCCCAAGTTCAATGTGCTGACCACCCTAGTCTCTGATTAGAGACCTCTTTCTATTGTATTTGCATGGCCACTTCCCTGCAAACGAAGATAGCAAGAACACAGTCTGTATTGTCAGTTCATGAGAGCTGATCTATTCTAAACCTAATTTTCTTCCTAAAATCACCATCTCTGGGCACTATCACAATGGATATCCCCAGCACAGGAATGGGGAGGGAGAAGAGAGAAGGGGCCAAACATTCAGAGAAGCCTAAGGAATGCATGAATGGCTTCCATTTCCCCTGTGGCTGAGATGGAACTCCAAAGGAGAAATCCCATCTTCCTATCCCCATAGCTAAGACCAAACCTCACTGGGAAAATACATGGATTGATGAATCACTGAAGTCAGTGTGGTACCAGATAGCCAGGAGTTCTTGGAAATCTGCTCTCCAGAATTTGGTAGAGACTCTCTGTGCTAAATGGGAAATGTGTTCATGGGAAGGTGTTCCACACAGAAACTGGCTTCTGAAGGCACACACACAATAGTACAAAGTACTAGAGCCTTTCAAGCAAAGCTGGTACTAGGGCGCAATACCTATTCCTATTGCAGTTTCTCTCAAACACCCTAGTACTGACAAAACTTTGGGGCCAGCAAGGTTTCAAAGGTCATTTTTTTTGGCTTTTTGGGTCACACCTGGCGATGCACAGGGGTTACTCCTGACTTTCCACTCAAGAATTAAACTCCTGGCGGTGTTCGGGGGACCATATGGGATGCTGGGAATCGAACCCAGGTCGGCCGCGTGCAAGGCAAATACCCTATCTGCTGTACTATCTCTCCATACCCATGGTTTCAAAGGTCTTGATTTATTTTCAAGGAACAAGCAAAAAAGTACAGTTAGAATAGCAATGCAACAAAACAGTAATTAACGTACTAGTATAAACTAAGAATAAATACCAGCAGAAGTGAATCAAGTATTAATTGAATTGTTTGTTACTCAGGTAAGTTACTTTTCTAAGTCTGAAATTTATTCATTTCTGGATAAAACACTCTGTGCCTAGAGTAGAATCTGCTCCATTGTTCATGCTTAATAAATATTTGCTGAATGTTAAATAAATGAATCAATAAATAAATTGCTTTAAAGATTCATTCACTGATGTGTTGTTTTTTTTCTCTCCGTTTGTCACTCTAGCTGATGGATGCACCGATTGGTCTGTTGATATCAAGAAATATCAAGTTTTGGTGGGAGAGCCTGTTCGAATCAAATGTGCACTCTTTTATGGTTATATTAGAGCAAATTACTCCCTCGCCCAAAGTGCTGGACTCAGTTTGATGTGGTACAAAAGCTCAAGTCCTGGAGACTTTGAAGAACCAATAGCTTTTGATGGAAGCAGAATGAGCAAGGAGGAAGATTCCATTTGGTTCCGGCCAACATTACTTCAGGACAGTGGTCTTTATGCCTGCGTTATCAGGTATTTTAATTTTCTTTATTTTTGAATCAGTCAAATCACATACTTAATCCTTCTACTTAAAATTTGCTATTCTTTTCACCTGAAGGTATTTTCTCAATATGCCTGTGTTGTTGCTTTCCAGAATTTAGAATCTAAATTACAAAAGATGGGATTAGAATTTATACAGAGACATTATTTCTAGCTTATGGAGAAAAGAGATGCCATCTGTGTGTCTACTTATATTGCCAGAAATTACTAAAGACTATGAAATAAAATTTATAGAGGAGGTGAAATGTTGCAAATAAAATATAAGCAAAGACTTGCAGAAAGGATGCATAGTTTATTGTTAAATGGATTGTAACATTTTGTTATTGCCCTTCACAGACAGATAGAGCACAGATACCTCTGGTTCACACACATCTGCAAAGATGATTTAGGTAATGTGAATGTGTGTGCACAGGAAGTAAAAAGGCAGCATTGCTGTGGCAGGGAATATGAAAGTAGAGAATCAGATCATTTTTGTTAACTAAATGTTCCAGGTCAATACAAAAAAAGGGAAAAATTCAAGTCCCTCAAGGATATTACAAAAGTTAACAGTGTCTTGTGACTTTATCTGCCAAGAAGCTCCTCAGAATCTACACATTTTTGTTAGTGGAAGAGATGTATGTAGTTTGCTTAATGACAATGCATTGAAATTATCTGTGTATTAAATTAACAGTTAAAAATCTCAATTTAAACATTTAGCCCTTCATGGATTGTGAATCGTGCCCCGCATGAATGACTGTGAATGTCATTAGACTATAAGCACATTAGGAAAGCAAGGTACAGGTTTATAGAGAGTATATAGAAATATTTTTCTTTATTTTCCTGTATTTTGGCTTATTAAGATAAATACAATCCAACATAAAGCTGTTGGCTTCGGTTTAAAGAAAAATCAAAGAATCACCAATCATCTTTTTGAGATACAAATTTGCTTTCCACTTCTGCAGTTCTGATGAGTTGATATCATTTCTCTGTCATTAGAGATCATACCTCATACTCAACACTGATAAGGAGGAACTTTATTTTGAGTCATGACACATCTGTGTTAGGACATTAAAATAGTGTCAGAGTCACATAAAAGTTAAACAGAAGTTTATTTAAACACTGAATATATATCTTAAGTGAAAGTTCATTTTGAAAAATATAAATGAGTGCATATTGTATGGGGTGACTTAAGAATGGATTGTGAAAGAACAAATGCATTGTCCGTTTGGCAATTTTTCTTTCCCTATGATTTACCAGTTCTTTTATGTTCATTCATATCTCTTAATTTAACTGGATTTTTGTATGGGACATTACTAAATAATTGCCATATGAGTGCAGTTAAGGAATACATTTGGACTCTCTGTTCTCGCTTGACTAATAGTGATTTGATTTGATTTCATATCTGCTGTATTTCTTTAAATAAATCATTATTTCAGATTGTTCATGCATGTTCAGAGGTTATTCTTCAAGGCAGTCAAATATGTGTCCTCATTTATCTGAGATTAGAATTGAGCTGACTGTTCATAACCTAACACTCAATTTTATTCTTTATTGTTGATGTGAAAATAATGATGGGTTCACATTAGTAGTCTGAATTTCTAAAGCACTGAGGTTGCAATTCTTTGATGTGGCGCAACATACACTATGATTCAGTGCCTTGAAAAATTGCATTAAACAGTTCCTATACTTAGAGTTGCCATAATGAATTAAAGATCAAAAATATTTAAAAATTAATGGCATTTGCCATATGTTTATATCAGAGGTGAAACAAAAAGTCAAGCACCTTAAAATTTTCTGTATCCAGTGGTATTCTAGATCAGTGTATCTCAACTTTTTTTTTGACCACAGATCCCCTTATGACCTCATTTCCTTCCTCTGGCACCTCTTTCTTACTGGTTAGCCCCCTAGCTTCATGTCATGCCCCCCATTTACTCAATTTTCACCTATGATACCCTTGAAATATCCTACGGGGACCTCAGGAGGGCCATACGACCCCTGGTTGAGAAACACTGTTCTAGAGAAAGTGTTAAACTGCAGGGGAAAATACATTTGTCAATAAAATCCACATATTCCAATTGACTTGAGACTAGTGTTGTTATTCTCCCTTTTCAATTAGGAAAACGGTGCTCAAAATTAGAATAGATGTATTTAAATAGCATGACATGGTGTTGAAATGAAGAGAGCCCGGGGCATAAAGTGAGTCAGTGACATTTTGACATAATATTAGCTATCAGGCCATAAAACTGTCGTCATTAGTTAAAAGAAATTCACCTGCAAAGAATTTGAGGACTTTGGCAATGTTAGTTTCGAAGCTTCTAATCATATTATTAAAACTCACAATGTCACCGATAACAAGGTTTTGTAAGACTTTTATATTGAGCTAATTTTTATTTATACCAAGATCACGATCACGACCACCCTGTTGTTCGTCGATTGCCTCGAGCAGGTGCCAGTAACGTCTTCTTCGTCCTAGCCCTGAGATTTTTTTTTTTAAAGTGCCATATTCAAGGCTTTTTCAGGGTTAGGAGAATGAGACCCATCATTGTTACTGGTATTTGGCATATTGGGTATACTACGGGGAGTTTGCCAGACTCTGCCGTGTGGGCAGGTTACATTTGGTAGCCTGCCAGTTTGACCAAATTAGGAATGAGATGATAAGATGTCGCGTGGCCGCGTGCTTCCGGGAGCTGAGTGTGATAATCTCTGGATCCTGGCCGTTGTTGGAGTTACACAGCAGTTGGTGGGTGTAACTGTCTAGTTACTGGCAGGTCCAGTCCCAAACCGTGCAGGCTTGGAGATCTCAGCCCCGGGTCCCACACACCTGGGTTCCTTATACCAAGATATATGCAATTTAATGGTATAACCAAATGTTGTAAGATTACAATCAATATAACCAACAAGTGCATTTCTATACACTTCTCATAGAACCTGTGTTGAGCAGAATGAAGCCACATAAACTCTTGCTTCATACAACCTTTCTTTTAACTCAATTTTCTCTTCTAAAACTTGAAAAGACTTTGTCTGAAAAATAGGGAGCACTGCATATCAATTTATTATATTTACTTCTCTTGCCATTTAAAAGGAAAACTTTCTTAACAAAAAGTTTCTGTATTCTTGATGCCAAATTTTAAAGTTCAATTTAAGGGGTCAGAGACATAGTACAGAGTGTAAGGCATCTGCTTTACATGCAGCAGACCTAGGTTCAATCACTGAAATTTCGTATTGTCTCCTAAGCCCCCCAGCAGTGATTCCTGAGCACAGAGCCAGGAGTATGCCCTGAGAACTTCCAACATTTCAGAGTACCCCAAGGAAGGAAAGGAAGGAAGGAAGGAAGGAAGGAAGGAAGGAAGGAAGGAAGGAAGGAAGGAAGGAAGGGAGGGAGGGAGGGAGGGAGGGAGGGAGGGAGGGAGGGAGGGAGGGAGGGAGGGAGGCCTTTTTCACGGCAAAGCAATTAATGAAGACAATAAAATTCACCATATTTAGTGAATGAAACATTTGAAAATATCTGACAAAAGATAAATATGCAAAATATATAACGACCCCATACAACTCAATAGAAAAAGAGCACAACCAGATGTGGCCCAAAACCTGAATAAAATAAAATTTTGTTTTATATGCAGAGGTAGGAAATACACATCAAAGAATTTTAATGTGCTCCCTCTTCAAAAATGATAGCAAATTGTTTGACAACCTATTTTTGACATTTTTTACATTCGGGTAGATTCGTACTCAGTTAGAAGAACTTATAGAGATCTGTTCCTGACTACTCTCAATTGCAACATTTTGCCAAACTATAATACATTTTATAACCTTTGCACTGACATTAATGTATCAAGATGCAACATACATACAACACATACCTTTCCTATTATCCATATTCAACTTGTTCCCTAGCAATCCTAACTCCTATCAACAATCTGTTTACTAATCCATAACTACTTTATTTAAATTCAATAATAGGATATTAATGGACTCATATAGTATATAACCTTTGAAACTGGATTTTTTATCCAGAGTTATTCCTTTGAAATCTATAAAAATTGTTATATGCATTTGTAGTGAATTGTTAAGTAGTATCCTATGGTATAATAATTGCCACAATATTTATTCCTTGGAGAACACCTGGATTTTTTTGAGTTTCACAGATTAAAGAACACATTTCTGAGAACATTTATGTAAGATTTTTTAAGGACTTATGTTTTTACTTTTCTTGGTTATATGCCTAAGGATGGACTTATATTGTATGACATTTATGTTTGTTTATATAAGAAGCTACCAAACTATCTTCCAGAGTAGCTGTAGATTTTGTATTTCCAACAACAATATATTAGTGATAAAGTTTTTACACATCCTTGCATCACATGGTATTGTCATTATTTTACATTGTAACCTGCATTATATTCTGACATCTTACTGTAGTTCGAACTGACATTTTCCTTGTGAATAATAATGATGTTTACCATATTTCTCTGTGATGATTTACCATCTCTCTTTACTTCAAGTGAAATGTCTTTTCAGGTTTTTGGCCATTTTCTGATTGAATTATTTGTGTTATTATTGTTGAGTTTTAGGGTTTTTATACAGTCTACGTAGTAGTTCTTTGTGGATATGAGGTTTGAAGGTATTTTATGCCAATCTGTGATTTGTCTTCTCATTCTCTTAGAGAATCCTCCGGAGAGCACAGATTTGATGCAATTCAGTTAATTTTTCCATTGATGAATTATACTCTTGATGTGAAGTATAAAATCCCATCTGCGTGGCCCTAGATTTTGGACACTTTCTCTTTTTTAATGATTTCTTTTTGTTAAATATTTTATTGTTTCACATTTTATATTAGTCTTTGATATGTTCTGTGTTAATATTTAAATAAGGACTAAGGTTTATTTAAGCAACAAGGCAGATCCATAAATGCAGTACTTTCACTCAGAAGGTGTCAGTAGGACTGAGGAAAAAGCTGAACACTACATTCCTCTTGCGCCCTCATGTTGCATTTT